CGGTGCCAGACAACGTCGTCGTCAGCAAGGTCCCGCCACCTTCGGCTGACCTGGGCAGCCTTGCAGAGGGAGACGGTGTCGAGGTAGCCGAGAACCTTGTATGAGATCTCAGTCGGGAGCGCAGCCATGAAGTCGATCTTGAGCTGTTCGTGTACTTCGCGGGAGACGGTGGATAGTTGAGGGAAGCAGCACTGGGTGATGATACCCTGGAGCATCAGGTCGCGGTGCTTGGCGGGGGCGGCGGAGAAGAGGGACCACACGTGTGTGATGGCTTGTTGATCGGCAGAAGGCAGCTTATCGAGTTCCTGTGCGCCAGACGTGTCAGCACGCAGTCGATAGGCCCTGTGGGCATCAACACAAGACGGGCTTACACTTTGGATCAAGACCATCTTGGACTCATCAGCCGCGCGACGACACTTTGCGTCGGGGCGGTGACGATAGCAGAACTTGCTGTTGGTAGGGTCTCGCTTCTGGATGAGCGAGTTGTTTTCGTTTTGGACATCTGGCTTTCCGATGGGAGCGTAGATGCCGGGGATATGTTCTCGGAGGAAAGGCGTAACTGTCTGGCCGACGAGTTGGGTGGGCATATTCGCGGGGAACTTTGAGACTTCTCCTTCGTCAGGTCTTCGTCTGTCACAGTTGTCTCTAGATGGATGGTTCGCAGTAGTCACATCGTTGGCGGCGGAAGCGGCGTTGGGAGCAGGTGTGTGATTGTGGTGGGAGACTGGTGTGGAGTTTACGTCAGCGGTAGCGGTGAAAGTCGGTGTGTTCTTGAAGTAATCAGAGGAAGGAGAAGTCGAGGCGAGCTCGTCATGGCGGTGACTGGACGACGAGTTATTGGTGTCGAGGTTGAGGTCGAGGCCCATGTTCAAGTTTAGGTTCAGGCTCCGGGGATCCGGGACGGTTGACGTGCTTGCGAGGTCCATGGCCGCAATATGTTTCAGCAAGCAATGGAAGCAGAGCACAGAACAGTTGGGGTGAATGGTGTCAAATCATCCGGGGCGAGACGGAAACTGTTCGCTTGGGTTGTTGGTGTCGCCGGCGGTAGGGGAGGTGTACAACGAGGGACACAGCCTACAAAGCAAACGAGCGAGAGGCGGCGACGAGGGGAGCGATACCCAAGGGCAGACAGAGGCCAAGGGCGGGACGTTGTACAGTGACACGGGGGAGTGACAGTCGTGGCCGATGGGCGTTTTGGGTGTTGGTGAGGTGAGAGGACCTGGCGATGGCGTGCGAGCCAGGGGAAGGTCGATTTCGGGTAGGAACTTGTGAGAGACCTGGCGTAACAGGTACTGGAAGAGGATTGGCGTGTAACTTTTTTGGTAGACGGAGTATGGGGTGTCTGGGTATACGCAGTACGGAGTACGGATAGGTATTTCTGAGCAGCTGCCCAAGATGGGAGCCCCGGACGATCTACAGGAACGGATTCCGACTGGTTCTGAGGGGTATGGTTGTGGATGGAATTGGTATACCTAGGGCACGCAATTCCAGTGCAGTTTGTCGACGTCGCGCGCGGGCGTTTGTGTTGAGACTCGAGGCAGGTTTGGCAGGAGGTTGAGCCCCTGGTGATTCGTCGGCCGGGGGTGGTTGTGGTCTGTGTTTTGTGGAAGTCGTCTGGATGCTTTCTTCTTCTGTTCTCGTCCTTGGCCTGCTGACTGCGACGGGTTTGACGGCGCGGAGGGACAGAGGGATTGCCCGATCGCTAGTAGTTAAGGGTGTGCGACAAGGTTCAGACGAGGCGGAGGTGAACGAGGGAGGAAAGTATCGTGGTCGCAGTGCGCCGTCGTCGCCTTTGATGGTGTCGGTGTCGTGATTGAAGTAGTGTGTGAGGTATGGGAGAGTGTGGTCTGGGTTCGTCCGAGGCTGGATAGAGAGGTATAGGTGCGAATGGTCGTAGTGGGAAGGGATCGGTGTGTACTTAACGACGGTTGATTCGAAAGCGGCGCGCTGGTGGAAGGAAAAGGGCTGATTCTCTTCTCTTTCTCGCTATCTCTATCCGTATGATAGTGATTGTTATTCGTAGGCTTTGGGAGTTTTGCTGCTGGTGCTGCTGAGCTGAGGATGGGCAGTGGCAGGTGGGCAAGCCGTAGACGGAGCCAGCACCAAAGAGGTGGGTTTGAGTGCTTTGGGGCGAAAATGGCGTTATCACTGGGATTATCAGCGGCGGTTGAGCAACTTGAGCCTAGGCGACTGGTGGCCCCCCAGAGGTTCCACTTGTCGACAGCGGTTCCCAGGGGTCCAGACCCACTAAGACGTGCTCGCTACCTCTCGGGTGTCCACTTTCTCTCCCAAATGATTGGCCGCCTTCTCTGGCTCACGGTTGTCGCTGTGGTGGGAAGGCGGCAGCGGACGGGTCTCGCTGCACCTTTCTCCGATAGCCGACTGATTAGATTGCGGGGAGGCACTGGGAGGGCAGGAGGCCACGCCGACAAGCGAGGACGCCAAAAAGGGCATCTACGAATCGAATACCTTGCACCCCGCGATGCACCTCCCTCAAGTGTGCTAGCAAGATCCACACTCCAAAATACTAAAGGTCCTTAGGTACGGAGTAGACAAGTGTGGTATAGTACCTAAGTATCCGTTCACTACAATTTGGTGTGGCACAAATCGACTATTATTCTCCCGTCTGTCATCTGTCACGATTTCCCCAGTTTCATCTTCAAACCTACCGATTGAGGCTCAATGTGGTGGTTGCATCGTTAAAGACTCTATTCAGCCTCTTCATGTACGGAGTAGGTACCGTATCTACCTATGTGTTGTGGGTGAAGAAATCACGAGGTGCACAATTCACACAAGATAGGTCGGCCTCGCCTACACGTCAGGCTTACCTAACAACATGCGCAACCAGGCACTAACACGCTCCACGATACAGTCACCTGCTCTTCATTTTTTCCCCTCTATTTTGCCAATTCTGCCCAGTCCCGTCCCATTGGACCCAGATTAGCTCATCGCGGCCACGTCTTGTGCAGTTTCTCTCTCGTCATCCGCTGGGTCTCCTTGAATCAGTCAACCTGGATCCAAGAGTAGAATTTTCACTTTCTCTTAGCCAACAGGTCAATAACAAAGACATCCAGGCTGTGTCTCAACCGAGGTGATTAGAAACCGGATACCCGCTCTCCTGAAATTCTTGACTGAAATTTCTGATTTCATTGCCCAATGTCAGGCATAAAACTTACGACACACCTCGAAGTTCAAGCTCGTCATTTTTCTGTGGGTCCAGCTCTGTTCACGAAGCACAGGTACGAAGTTACAAACATGAGCCCTCCAAGGAGAGAACTTTGAGATCAGAAAGGCATCCCTACTGCGTAGGGACCCAGACAACAACAGCTCCTAGGCCGCCCCGACACGCCCGAGTACCGACGATGAGGTTAAGGCCGGCTGGAATGTCGCCATCCTGGCTGCCAATCTCCCCAATCTGGATGAGCTAACGCGAGCCTGCGATGGCGTCATTTTCTCAGCCCACGGGGTTCTCAAGCACCTCATTTTTGACCCTTCGAGAACGCCCCCTTTGTGTCCATCCGTTCCCATTCGTACCCATTCGTGCCCATTTACAGCTTTCAATACGGGACCTGCTGCAGCATCATCATGGGTGAAGCCCAAAGGGTATCCTCCCACCTTCGGCACTTGAGTTAAAACCTAACGCCTTTCCCCATGTTTTGTCAACTTAACGCCGTTCGCCTCCCAAGTCTCCGTAATTCTGTCACTCTTTCAATATGACTAAACTTGGCCCTTTCCCAAGTTCCCGTCGTGGATCATGTAAGCCACTTCGACTTCCAGCGACCGCCTTGGATATGGGCGTGAATCATGAATGAGAGCGGATGAACAGGCCAGGCCTGGAACGAATTTGATGTTCAGTCAGCGACTCAGCTCTCCCACATTCCTTGTCCATTTCTTCTCAATCCCACCGCCCAATGCTCATCAGCACAACATGTCATTGGCCAATCCACCGACTCCGAAATCTTCTCCGACCCAATATCTGATGAAATCATGTACCAATCAAATACCTTACCGATAGCCGCAATGGGGCTGGTCCGACCACGGTCAGATACCGTAACCCCCATGCTCCCAATCTTTCACCGAGCAACAACCTCGCTCTCCGCATCAATGTCATCCTTTCGGTCGAGTGCCCGCGCTGCGTCCGTCGGACATGATACGACCAAGATAAGATTCATAGCGATCACGCAATTCGCTTTAATTTCCAGTATACAGATGCATCGGGTGACGGCAAACTAAAACGTTGCCAATACAGCCAAAGAGAACTACACTTCCACTCGACTTGAATCCTCAGCTTTCTCAAAGTCTGACATCCAACTGTTGGGATGGCAGAGGTCTGACATAAAGTCAATGGATACCTGGGACGAGATGGTACCAAGCTCAAGGTGCCTCAGCCTCTGATGTTGTGCAAGCGTACACAAGTTTACGGTGCAACCGCTCCTGTCCGGACGCCAGACCTTCATCCAATTGCGCTTCTACACATCTTTTCTTCCTGGCTGAATGCAGAGGCGCCACTGATCACCCTTCCGCCATAGCTTGTTTCTCACCCTACTTTATCCAACCGTCTAACATTTGGGAGACCGCCAGAGACACTGATCTACAAGTGCCACTCCTCACGTTACGAAACATTTCGATAGAGCTCCGGTACCTGCAGACTACCTACTGTCAGATCAGAATGAGCCAAGCCTCCTTCCCAAAATTCCATACAAGAGACCGGCAGCCACACCAGCTGTGGATTCAACCCTGGATAGATTATTTTCGCATCGATATATAGCAAATCTCCTTGTTGAAAATTGTCCATGTGATGGGGAATAGAGGGTCTCCAGGTGAGAGATTCATGGACCGTAGTGAGCCACTTTGAACTTTAGACTGTTCATCTTAAGGTTCTACCAGAGGCCATTTAAGGAGAATAATGGAAGCATATTGAAAATCAACCTTGGGGATTCGGTGCTTGGTGCAATTATAGTCTTTGATTGACAATTTCCCTCAGCATCCTCCCTACTATTTCAATAGGTGACCTTCGGAGTGATGGATTGGTAGTCCGGTCCGTTAGGAGGACCAGGCTCTGGCATACCCATGTAGTCTGACGGTCCTTCCTTTGCTTCTACCCTCAGGTGAATCGCCTTGCGATCAAAAGTTGTGACAACTGCATTGACTTCTCCCATCTTATGGACATCAGGGGTTCCCAAAACCTTGGGCTCAACAAAAGGCTTCTGTAGGTACGGCTCAGTGTAAGTAAGTGCAGGCTGAGGTTTTCCGGGCCACGCTTCTAGGGCATCCTGAGGCTGTGGAGGCTTTGGACCAACAATGCCAGAAACGCTCATGAAGATGTAATCGGCAAATTGGCTCCCATAGTGCACGTAGCGACCGCCGTTATTCTGATCAAAAAGATCGCTCAGGTTAAGGTCGCGGCTATTATCATCAGTCTTGAGGCCTTTGGGGATAGATACGCGGAGATGAAGGCCCATGTTCTTGGCAATATCACCACGATCACACCAGTCAAAGACGCCCTCGGGGACTGGGACCATATTTCGAATGTTCCCTCTTCGCTTGCCAGTGCGATCTAATAGGAAGGACGAAAAATCTGCGTCGTACATGTACAGAGCGACAGGGTCTTTGACAGAGATTGTAACCGGGAAAGGACACACTCTATCGCGAGCAAGACGACAAACTTCGTTGACTGCGGCACCAATCTACAAATCGTTAGTTCGAATAGTTTCCAACGGACAGCAGAGTGCCTTACCGTCGGGTCAGAATTCCTGCCCGGGTTACCGTAGGCAGATCCATCACCGCAAAGGGTAATCATGTTGGTAATAGGCTCACCGTACACCAAATCGGTTCTGGTAACAGTGGCTTGAGCAGCGATATCAATCTCAGCACTGAGACTGTTGTTGATTTGGATGAGATGGGCAATCGTACCAGTGTTGGTGTGACCATTCCACCTGTTGTAGATGTTGTATTTGCCTTTGTCGTCCACTAGATGATCACCCTTGATCTCGTTCGCGAAATCGGGGTTCAACTTCTTGTATATGTCGAGGATCTTGTTGTTCCTCTCATGCTCTTGGGTTGCTGGGTTCTCAATAGGGGTTTCAGTCAGAATGGGGTTATACTTGGCCAGCTCTTCCCAATACTGGTTATGAGTCAATACAACAGTCGTCCGGGTAAAGAAGAATTGACTACGACATACCTCGGGACCTTCGCAAGTGAAGCTCACAATTTTCACATCTCCATCAACCCTTTTGGTAGACCATTCAAGATATTCATCCATCACCCAACGATCCTGCCTTTGTTGAGACATCGCGACAACTTCATCCTCTCCCGTCTGTTCATTCTTCCTATGGAACTTCAGGATCTCAGGCTCCAAGCGTCCTGGGGGAGCTCGCTGGTTCTCCGGATCCTCTGCGAATGCCCAGCGAGCATCATCCGTAGGCTGCTTGATTCTGACCTGATAACCAATTAGACGAGTGTATTGAAGGCTGATAGAAGAACTTGCATTCAGAGGGAAGCCAACCCAGGTGATGGGTACAGGAGGTAGAGACGAGTCGTAGGCAAAGTGAAGGGGGTTGAAGAACTGAGTAAGAATCTTCCTCCCCGTGAGTCTGCCTGCTATCTCGTCACCGAACCAGCCATCAACAGTCTTGGACCATTTTTCAAGCTGTTCACCCTCAAAGTCATTCAAGAAAGCAGGAGGATGAAACTTGTCGAGTCTTTCGAGTCCAGACATATTGGTTAAGAATTGCTAAAGTGATGATAATGTGGGAGGAATACGTGAGAGGGCCAAGTTAACTTGGGAAACGTATAGCACTTCCAGGGGGGGGTGGTTTGCTTTTTCTTCTGGGCATGCTCGAATACTATGAAAATCATGCTTGTATTCCGCCGAAGACGGTGTTCCGAGATCTATATGATACACCATGCATATGTTTGTTCCAGATTTTCAAGTCTGGCCGCTCTGGAGCTGGCTGAGATTGAACAGCCGTTGAGGCCCGCTGCACATTCTCTCACCGCATGAGCTCGTGTTGAGGAACAGCTGTTGAACCCGGCATGTCTCAGCATGCCATCACCTATCTTGACAAATCAGATGCTCGTCGAGGAATGATAGTGCAAGATAGAGGCTTACGTCGTCACAGGCCTTGGCGGATTTGGGGAGGGTCTAGTCAAGGGTCTTCTGTGTGCGGGGTATTGCCGATGGTTTGGCGATACATCATAAACTACAAGCGAATGAATAGGCCCAGCCCAGCCTCCATGTCTGATGGAAATGTAATTCAGCTTCTTCCTATCAAGCCACAAAAAGCACATTTTCTAATCGGGCGCATACCACTGGTTACAAAAGTTCGCTTCAGAGGGCATCCGCATGCTGAACCCCAAACTAGAGACACTCAATGCACGGCACATTTGCATCGCTGCCTGTAGTGGCCGTCAGAGGGAGATATGATGTGATGAGGCTTAATGAGTTTGCTTGCAGTGTATCAGCTGTTTCACAAAAGCGCTTGGCCTCTCGCGGTCTTTTGACTTGTTCCGCCGACATACCTCCTGAGCTTCAAATTTCCGGCATAAATCATCAAGTGCTACTTGCTACACCTCCAGTCTACCGCAATTATCAGTTCCATCATTTGTGCTAGACACAATGACTGGTTCTAAAATTGGGAACTATGAAGATATCAACCAGAAACTCTGGTATCGAAAGTTCATTCGTGGGGTAAAACCTCGGACAAAAGAGCCGTATCCCGATGAGGACACGCCCGCCACGCCTGAACAGCTCGACGACGACTTCGTCGATTATTGGGGCAGACGCCTTAAAGCTGATAAAGCCTTTAGAAAGCACAACACGTACAATGAGCTGATGACCCAGTTTTGGGGTAAGTGAAGTCTTCTGGTCAGGAAGAATTGGTGCTAACGGTATGCAGAGGATCCAAATATAATCCTACAGACGTACGCCGTTGCAGATGGTCAAACCGTCCCAAGGAACAAACAGAAGCCCTGGTTCAGATCAGAGCTTCGCTTCATCTCTGTCATCTTTCCCACTGATGCAAACCATAAGAAAGATGCCAAGGCACCCATTGGGTCTGTATCGTGGGCACCCTGGTTTGTGCTTATAGCAGCGTAGGTAAATGGGTCAACAGTATGTCGCCTTCTTCACTAACACTTCAGCTCCTCCTCTATCCACTCCGAAAAGGACATCCTCCACATCATGAGTTGGTCGCGTGAAGACGGCCAGTTCAGGTACTATGCTGTAAGTAGTCATATGTTTCTGTCGAGTATACAGAGTTTATGACGATGGTAGCGCGATCTTATAATGAACGATGAAGCCAGAACCCAGCACGGCTGGGTATATCTATGCTCTTCGATGGATGCTTTCGATGCTCCAGGTAAGGCATACCTGGGTCCTTTGAACGGCCATGTCAATGGAGGAATCATCATGAAGGAGATTCACAAGTAAGTTATCACCGGGCCGATGTAAAACAATGGGCCTGCTGACGTGGTCATAGGCCTTGGATGCATTGGCTTGTTGGAGGTCGAGGAGTGATGGATCTTCTTGATGCAGAACTCATCTCGGAGCTTACGGAGGCTAGATGGCTCACTTATCCTGGCTTTCCTCCTCTTTACGGCGCAAGTGTGCAATCTGGTGAGACGTTCGAGAGAATAGTGCTGGACTCTCTCAGAATCTGGTTTACTAGCCGACGAAACAAGGACTTTTTGACCGAGAAAGGGGAGACTAAAAAACGTCCGGACAATATTCAGCGTTGGGCAGCACACTTTTTCCTGACAACCAACATCAACATTGCTGCTACCTCCAACAATGCCAACATTGTACCGTCGGATCACTTCTTCAATTATGAAATGCTTAGAGGATATAGCGACCTTCTGGTAGGTTATTCTTATTACACTGCTATTCCTTCTTGGCAAAGATGGATACCCTCAGCAATGCACTTGCTGACAGTTGTAGCCCAACCGAAGCCTTAACGACGACCAATGGCTAGCTGGCCATATACTCAAGGAGACTCCAGCTGCGTTAACGGCCTGGAACAAAGAACAGTTCAAAAATGACGAACATAAGTACCTCACTCAAGAACAATGGTTCAGAACCTACTCCATCTCATCTTTCAAGTATGACGGGCTGTCCTACCTCTGGGCTTCACGGGAACTCAAGCTCTGCACCTTGCAGGAGGTAGCCAATGTGCAAGACGCACAACTTGTTGTTCCAGCGAACATACTTGCCGGTGGCATTTTCATGGGAACTCTCGAGGATGGCAAGGAGGATATACGTGGAGGGGCCCAAGTCAACTTTGCCGTTCAGCAATGGGGCGAAGGGGATAATCCTTGGGTTATCCTTCAAAGCTCTGTGGATGACGCGCATGGCGTATGGACTGCTCAGAAGATGTTCTTGGGAGATGACAAACAGTCAGCCCGATGTCAACTCTTTTCTGAGAAAACCTTCAACGCCTTGCAGATGGTTGACTTTTGGAATCCGATTTATTCTTGGAGACGTCTCAAGTTGATGCAGTACATCCCCGTCGAGGCTGAACTCTTGGACACGCCAACTACCGACTCAACGACCGGTGACTACGTGTACAGTTACAATCTTGAGGAAAACTTCATCGATGCTGTCAGGAAGAGAATGGATGGCAAAGGGGACTTGGAGGAACTCCAAGATGAATGGCCAGAGGCTGCGTTCTTGTGCAACTTGGACAAGCCTCTCATTGAGCATCAGATTCGGATTTCCAACTACACCAACAAAGTGGTAGAGAACTTGAACAACGCGACCTGGATTCTGGATTATTTAAAGCTCGCCGAGTCTCGACGCCGCATGTTTCGTCCGATGCCGATGAACTTTTTCGGTAGCAATATTCCATACTGCCTTGCCATGCCGACAGACCATCCCTGGATAGAGATGACAGAAAAGGCTTTCGTACGACAGATTCCCGAGAGTGGTCTTGACGTCTTGAAGGACTGGCTAGGATCACTGGCTAGTAGCGATCCAAGCGTTATCCCTAACCAGAGTCTCGGGGATCTCAACAAACTTATTAGGGAGAATGTTGAACAAGGCACAGTTGGTTTGCCGGTTTGTTTTCTGCCCAGGCCATCGACGATGCGAATGGCTTGTCAACGTTTCATTGCGGTAACGAATCCAGAGACATCAGAAAGGCCTCACAGTTGCCCTTTCATGGTGTAAGAGCATTTAGCTTCTATAAATACATCAGGGGAGCTTAGCTTTGGCTGTCAATAAGAACTATCATCATCACATCCAACGCGAGAAAGTCCACATGTGACGTATTCCTGGACCCGGTAGCTCTGATTCCATACTCTCCTTCAACCAGCATTTTGTGGCTGGCTGCAATACCTTACTCAGCCGCTCTGGTGTACAGCTACATTCAAACACACTTCCCAAACAGTATACAGTGTAGTTTGAGTCAAAGATTTGTGAGTATTTAGGTTTGTGACCGACATGACTCGAATGCGATACTTCTGCATGGATTTTCAGCTCATCCCTATGCCAAAACGTCTTACACTATCTGATCAGCCGTCTCGATTCTTATCAGAGGATCTGTGTAGTTCAAATATTGTCTGCCAGGTTCGTGCGGCCGGGCCTTGATCTCCATTGGGATGTTGACGACGCAGAGATCTTGAAGCCCGAGGAAGCTAGGCCTTGGAGCGGGATCGGGAAGTTTGAGGTGGGTATCTGCGGACAATGGGAAAGAGGATCAAGCGAATCCTCCGGGAGACCACTTACTGCTTACATCTTTTCCAGATGAAGAGGGGCATTCGAGGCACGCTGTCAGAAATCACGAGCATGGCCACCAAAGCTAATGCTTTGCAAACAGGCCACTCGCCAACGAGGAACTTGCCATGAAGCTAAGCCGCCGGAGCTCGCATATCACCATCGGCTCTGACCGGCTGAACGAGTAATTGCCGCCGACAGCCGTTGTTATCGCATAGGTTGATTTGTAGGGATGCACGCCAAGTGCTTGGCGGTGGTAGTCTGGGAGACTTTTGAGCATCTCCGCTCCTCGGGACTGGGTGAAAATGCAGACTTCCCCGCTTCAGCAGAGATATCACTCGATGAGAGCGGCGAGATTTTCTGCTTGGCGGCGGATGGTGGGTGAGTTCAGGTAGCTGGGCCGCTCGGAGGAGGGCATAAAATCGTCGCGAGGCTAGCCATGTTCTTTCTAGAACTCGTTTCTTTGTTATTTTGCCAAGGCTTGGTACCATAAACAATATCAAAAGGGCTTCAACAAGATGCGTGTTACGGCTGCCTCCATTGCGATCTCGCTGTTCGGCTCTGCAGCCGCTGAGACTGTTCATGGCGTTGTTGTTTTCAGCCGTCATGGAGATCGTATGTTTCTGCCTGTTGAATCGACCCTCGAGAACAAGCTGACACATTAGTCAAGGAACAACTAAGCATTATGGAGCTCAGTCGTTGACCAGCGTCGGTGCTCAGCAGTGTTTCGAGGTTGGCAGTGAGTATCGAAGCCGCTACCTAGAGGCGGACTCCTCAAGTCGAATTCTCAACATCTCTGAGGATAAATATGTCTCCTCGCAAATCTACGCCAGTGCTCCCGACCAAGGCATCCTATTGAACACGGCCACGGCATTCCTGCAAGGTCTCTACCCTCCCTTAGTAGATCTCAACGCTCAGGTCGCGTCGTCGACCCTCAACAACGGCAGCACAAGTACGAGCCCCCTAAACGGCTACCAGTATGTTCTCCTTCATGGCGAGAACCCCAACTCGCCAGACACTATCTGGATCAAGGGCGATGATGGATGTCCAACAAACTCCAAGGCCTACAAGGCTTTCGAAGCTAGTGAAGAGTTCCAGACCCGTGTCACGGAAACCAAGGACTTTTATGGCAGCTTGTATGATGTGCTCGAGAGCGTGTACGACTACGAGCCCGAGAACATGACGTACAAGAACGCGTACGATATCTTTGATCTGGTCAACGTAGCACGAATCCACAACAGCACATCTTTGGCCCGGAACGTGACGGACGAGGAGCTCTTCCAGCTGCGAACGTTGGCAGACAGCGCCGAGTTCGGTTACAACTTCAATGCTTCCAAGCCTGACAGCACCATTCACGCAAAGACTCTTGCAGCTGGCATTCTTGCCCAACTCAACCAGACCGTTGTTTCCGAGGGGAAACTCAAGTTCTCCCTCCTTGCGGGCAGCTACGACACCTTCATGTCGTTCTTCGGCCTCACTGATCTCATCACCATTTCGGATGACTTTTACGGTCTCCCAGACTATGCCTCGACTATGGCGTTTGAGCTCGTCAGCGATAACACGACTGTGTTTCCCGCTGACGTTAATGCCGATCTTCGCGTGCGGTTCTTGTTCCGCAACGGCACTTTTGGCGAGCTGACAGCGTTCCCCCTTTTCGGCACCGGAGAGGAGACTCTATCATGGCCCCGATTCGTCGAAGAGATGCAAAAGAGAGCTATTGGCACCGTCGAGGAATGGTGCACTGCCTGTGCTAGTCTTGTATCATTCTGTGCGACTTACCAAGACGAGGAGGCAGCGAGCTCTAGCTCAGGGAGCGGCGGAGGCATGTCGAATGCTGTCGCTGGTGTTGTCGGTGCTATGATCACTCTCGGTGTTTTTGGTATCATCGGTGCCGTTGCATTTTTCATAATGAAGAAGCGACGCACAGCGCCGAACTCTCAAGTCCAAGGGTCTACGGCTGAGAAGTCCAGTCTGCGCAGTGGTGGTAGCGTATGAAGCTCTTGGCCGACAAATGTAGAATCGAGGCGATGAGTATGAATGCAGCGAGAGTAATCCCGATTCTTCTTTTCCATGTATCTTGTTGTCAGCGAACCAAGGTTCTGCGAGAGTCTGGTCATGCGAGACTTGCCGAGGCCTTCGCAAGTCTGAAGTGGATTGAAAGGATCATGCCTGTCAAGACTTATGATGATAGTGATCATAGCGATCTTTATTGAAAACGACGGCGCTAAGGCTGCTCCGACAGGGTTCATAAACTGGGCCTTATTTCAATGTAGTTGAAACGACTTGAGTGAGTCGTTCGTCAGCAGAAACCCGAGTTCATCTGATCTTTGCACGGAACATCCGACGGGATGTTTTTCGATAACCCGCTTTTACATGAGAGGAGAACTCTTTCATAGTCACGATGCAACTCGGAAGTAGTTTGAACAGATTATGAACGTGACAAATGGTACGATCTATATCGTTATGATATATACTTTATGTAAAGCGGTATACAGGAAAGACTTTGTACATGAAAGAGATTGGTCCTGGACCGAATCAGATTCGCGGGCGCCACAAGTGTAAACGCCCACTACGAGCTGGATAGCTTCATCATCCCCTAAGCCATCTAGGTCGCTTCAACCCTCGAGACCAGATACCATGGTATCGTGGAAATCGCTTATGCCTGAATGCGGCGGTCGTGGATGCTCATGCGCTTGGCGACAGCGGTCGCGGAGGGGGTCTCAACGGGGCAGTCCTCCTCGTCATCAGCGGCCTGAGTGGGAGTGGGAGTGGCAACGGGAGCAGCAGAGGACTCGGCAGGGCAGTCCTCCTCATCGTCGGAGGCAGCCTGGGTAGGAGTAGCGACGGGGGCGGCAGCAGTGGAGGTGGCGACGGGAGCCTCAGACTCAGCGGGGCAGTCCTCCTCGTCGTCAGCGGCCTGGGTAGGGGTGGCGACGGGGGCAGCGGTGGCGGTGGCAGTAGGGACCTCGGACTCGGCAGGGCAGTCCTCCTCCTCATCGGCGGCAAGAGTAGGGACGGTGGCAGCGGCGCTGACGGTAGCGGAGGCAGACTCGACGGGGCAGTCCTCCTCATCATCGGTGGCAGTCTGGCTGGGGGTGGCAGCAGAAGCGACTGAAGTGGCGGGGGCAGAGGTGGCGGCCGGGGCGGAGGTAGCAGCAGCGGCGGAGGTGGCGGCAGCGGAGGTGGCAACGGGGGCAGCGGAGGAAGCAGCGCCAGAGCCGGAGCCGGAACCAGAGCAGGAGAAGACGGCAGGGCCGGGGACGGTGTACTCCTGGGCCTTGTAGGCATCGTAGGTGATACCGGCATCAGTAGCGGCGTAGGCACCGGGGAAGGCAACCAGGTCAGAGGGGCTGGTGCTGCCGGAACCGGTAACCTTGATCTGATGGCATCCGGGGTAGAACTGGGCGCCGGGGTAGGAGTAGGAGGCGTGGAGGGCGATGATCTCGTGACGGACGAGGTACTGGCCGGGGGTAAGGCACTCGGGGATGGTGTACTTGACACCAGAGTTGCCAGCGGTCATGAGAGAGGTGGCACCCCAGGTGTTGGAGGTGCCCTCACGTCCGGACTCCTGGACCTTGAACCAGACCTTGTCGGTGTTAGGGGTGAAGGTGGTGCAGTCATCACCGGCGCACTTGGCCATGTAGGTGATGGTAGGGCCAATGTGAGACTCGGGCCAGAGAGTCCAGTTGAGGGTGACCTCGTCACCAGCCTTGGCCTCAGCGACGAGCTTGGCGGGGGAGGAGCCCGTGACACCACCGGCGGTGTAGCCACCGCACTGGAGGTCGATGCTGGTCAGGTCCTCGACGGGGCCGTTGCCCTGGATGGGACGGGAGATACGCTCGGGGGCCGGGCTCGTGTACGGGTCCTGGTAGGGCTGGTAGAAGGTGTAGTTCGTGCCGCTGATGAGACCATCGGAGACGTAACCGTGGGCAGCCACCAGGGCTGCGGATCCAAGAAGGGAGGCGATAGCGGACTTCATTTTTGCGATTTGGAGTTTTTTTGTTTGGGAGTTGTTCAAAAAAAGGGGTTGACTTGACTGTGAGAATATCGAGGTCGGTTGGAGGAATGAGTGTTGTTGGAGGTCTAGGACCGAAAAGAATGAATGACTACCTGGTCAAGTGAAAAGAATGACAAAAGTTGAACGAAGGAATGAGATAGACACACAAGTCAAGTGAAGCTGAACACTATGGATCGTGGGAAAGAGAGTTCAGAGCAGAGGACGGCCGGGCAGAGATGATGATATATACGGGAGGGCATCGTAGGTTGTTTTCCCAACGCGGGCACTTGCGCCGTTGGCGTCCTTTCTCAACTCCATCGGGTCAAGATTAGGAGGACCACTTCCGCCGCTCCGCCAAAGTTTCAATTATACGCAGGACAATCATATCCGGCCAGGTGGTGGGGATAAACATGGGGAGGGGGATCTCGCGTATGCGGGAGACAGGCACGGCTGGGAT